CGCTGAGCATAGAGCTGACTCCAGGCTCCATCTCAAAACCCTGAGATCATGCTCTGAGCCAAAACCGAGGGGATCCCTGGGTGGCGTAGTGGTTTAGTGCCTGCCTTTGGCCCAGGGCGTGATCTTGGAGACCCGGGATCGAATCCCACGTCGGGCTCCCAGTGCATGGAGCCTGCTTCTCCCTCTGCCTATGTCTCTGCCTCTCTCTCTCTCTGTGTGACTATCATAAATAAAAATTAAAAAAAAAAAAAAAACGAGTTGTATGCTTAACCAACTGAGCCACCCAGGCACCCATAAACGAGATATATATATATATACATATATATAATTATTTATTTTTTGTTATATATATTTAAACACGGGATTCTTCTACATGATTATATATGCTTGTCTCTGGACAATGGATTTTAAATTTTATTTGTATTTTTAAAACTTTCTTTTTTAAAAGATTTTATTTATTCATGAGAAACACAAAGAGAGAGGCAGAGACATAGGCAGAGGAAGAAACAGGCTCCCTGTGGGGAGCCCCATACAGGACTTGATCCTGAACCTCAGGATCACACTCAGAGCCAAAGGCAGATGCTCAACCACTGAGCCACTCAGGCGTTCCTATTTTTAAAACTTTCTAGCGGGGGAGGGGGAGGGGGGGCAGCCCCGGTTGCCCAGCAGTTTAGCGCCACCTTCAGCCCAGGGCGTGATCCTGGAGACCTGGGATTGAGTCCCACATCAGGCTTCCTGCATGGAGCCTGCTTCTCCCTCTGCCTGTGTCTCTGCCTCTCTCTCTCTCTATTTCTCGAATAAATAAATAAAATCTTAAAAAAAAAAAAAGAACTTTCTACAGGGACACCTGGGTGGCTCAGCCGTTGAGCGTCTGCCTTCAACTCAGGGATTGATCCCAGAGTCCAGAATGGAGTCCTGTATTGGGCTCCCTCCGAGGAGCCTGCTTCTCCCTCTGCCTCTCTCTGTGTCTCTCATGAATAAATAAATAAAATCTTAAAAAAAAACCCTTTCTACAATGAGCAAGTAATTACCTGTATAATAAAATAAATATAATACAAAATAGTTAAATTAAAACAATAAATATAATTAGGATATATTACAAATAAAACATTTTATTTTTAAGAGGAAAAAAAACTGAGAAAATGATGCCCGTTTTTCAGGCCACAATACTGAGTCTCAGAGGCTAAGGTTGTTAATAAGTGACCAAGTTCAGTCCAGAACTTGGCTTTCTTCTCTCCAATTGTCTCATCTCCCATACATGTCATCCTTAGAGGCCTTTAAAAAAATCCCTTTAATTATTCTTTAGTGGGATTCAGAGATGAAGCAAAAGGAAATGTATGTGTTCAGGCTGTTGCCTTTACCCAGATGCCTATACTCCCTATTCTAAAGGCTGGGTAGTCCCATATCCCATTTATCCCATTTGGTATCCTCTCCCAATGATCCACCCTCTAGTCTTTTCAATTTTATCTCATAAGACCCTCTCCATCCTGGTTCTTCATTGGTCAAGGTGCTCAGACCTGCTCCAGATGTGGCCAAACCAGCCAGAGCATGAACACAGGGGAAGCACTAATAGAGCTGGCCTAGTCATATTCAGGAAACATTAACTCCCTGCCAGCCAAACTTCTATCCCCTTTGCAAAATTAAAACATGCCATATGAAAAGTTAGATGTCAGGATTTCTCCAAGTAGAATAAAATTGCAAAGTGAGCACAATGAAAGGAACAGAACAACAACAAAAAGATTACAGAACCATTTGACAAGTATTCCATTTTAGGAAGACTATAAAATTGGTGATGACTGTATAGAAAGTCAGCCAAAGAAAATAGAAAGAAAGACCATATACCAAAATATTGAGTGATTGTCTTTGGGTGGTGAGAATGTGGGTGATTTTTCTCCCTTTTTCTCTGTATTTTCCATTATTTCTACAACTGATTTTTATCGTTTTACTTGTTTATTTTTAAAATATCATTTGTTCTGATTTATTTTTTTAAGATTTATTTATTTATTCATGAGAAACACAGACATAGACAGAGGGAGAGGCAGGCTCCTCATAGAGAGCCTGATGCAGGACTCCATCCGGGACCCTAGGATCACACTGGGAGCCAAAGGGAGACACTCAACCACTGAGCCACCCAGGCAACCCTATCTGTTCTGATTTCAAAAGCAATGATCATTGTGAAAAGAAACCCAAAACTACAGACTTTAAAATTTTATCATACAAGACAGAATATGAAGCTCTTCCTAATTATAATCACAGATATATTTTTATTTAAAACAGTTTCATGGAACACCTGGATGGCTCAGTGGTTAGGCATCTGCCTTTGGCTCAGGGTGTGATCCTGGGGTCAGGGGATCAAGTTCCACATTGGGCTCCCTGCGAGAAGCCTGCTTCTCCCTCCTCCTGTGTCTCTGCCTCTCTCTCTCTCTCTCTATCATAAATAAATAAATAAATCTTGAAAAAAAAATTAGCACAGGGCAGCCCCAGTGGCGCAGCGGTTTAGCGCTGCCTTTAGCCCAGGGTGTGATCCTGGAGACCCAGGATGGAGTACCATGTCAGGCGCCCTGCATGGAGCCCGCTTCTCCCTCTGCCTATGTTTCTGCCTCTGTGTGTGTGTGTGTGTGTGTGTGTGTGTGTCTATGAATAAATAAATAAAATCTTAAAAAAAGGAACACTTAATAAAAATTAGCACATATTTATTGGAAAAAATAAGAGAGAAATTTGCAAAAAGAAGAAGGAAAAAAACTTCTCAATCCTACCACCCAGATATAATCACTATCACCATCCTGGTATATATCCTTCTCATCTTTTTTCCTATACATACACATAAAACTCATTTAACTTTTTTTTTTTTTTTTGTAAACCTTACACCCAAGGTGGGGCTTGAACTAACCACCCGAAGATCAAGAGTCACATGCTCTACTGACTGAGCCACCCAGGTGCCCTTCACTTACTTAATTTTTATAAAACTGGGATCATACTGTATATACTCTATCATACACACACAGCTTTTCTTAATACTTAGTGAACATTTTCTCACGTCTTTAGATTTTTTTCTACCTAGCACTGCCTCTCCATGGAGGCCCTATCGGCTTTTTAAACATAATAAGTGATTTTTCAATGCATAGGACTATTCTGTGCATGGAAGGATATTTAGGATCCTTTTCCCACAGCTATTTGCACAGACCAAAGTGGGAGTAGCGTGATGGAGATATATCTCCTTCCTGGGTAAGATCTTTCCTTCTACAGCATCATTCCCTAAAGCGTTTTCTGCAAAATATTTGTTGTATAGGATTATAATAAACCTTCATTTAAAAAGAGTTCAGAGATTAAAAATGTTTCAGAAATGCCAGCAGAAAAATGTTACAAATACAACATTTAGTCTATGCTTTAATCTGGCTAATTCCTTTTTTGAACTCACAACTCTAAGATCAAGAGTTGCATGCTCTTCCAACTGAGCCAGCGGGTGCCTCTAACCTGGTTAATTCCTTAAAATGAACTCTTTTTTTAAAAGATTTTTTAAAAATTTATTTCAGAAAGAGAGAGATTGACAGCGAGCAAGCGTGAGAGAGAGCACAAGCAGCGGGGGAGAGGTAAAGGGAGAAGCAGATTCCCTGCTGAGCAGGGAGTCTGATGCGGGACTCGATCCCAGGACCCTGAGACCATGACCTGAGTTGATCAACTGAACTATCCAGACCACCCTAAAATGAATTCTTTATAGTGACTATACTAGGTCAAAAAGTATGTTCATTAAAAATATTGACATATTGGGATGCCTGGGTGGCTCAGTGGTTGAGCATCTGCCTTCGGCTTTGGTGGTGATCCCAAGGTCCTGGGATCGAGTCCCACACTGGGCTCCCCAGAGGGAGCCTGCTTCTCCCTTTGCTTATGTCTTTGTCTCTGTGTGTCTCTCATGAATAAATAAATAAAATCTTTTTAAAAAGTCGATATATCACAGATGACATTATCCATATAATACCTATTATCTGCCATCAAATACTATTCAGTATTATCTAATACTGCCTTCTTATCCATTAGGTGAACAGTTGTCCTTGCAGACCCTTCCCACCCACTTGAGGAATTAAGTGCTCTAGTCACATAGGGAACAGGTAAGATTGATTTATACATCAATGAAGGCTTTTATCTACTATCATGGATATAAGGCTTTTGGGTCTATCTGAAGTCATGCAGTTTGGGAGACCCTGGCTAGGTGGCCAAGGGGGGATGGGCATAGAGTTGAGACAAACAACTATTCTATTCTTCTCAGCAGAGGTCTGGGGGTCTGACAAAGATGGGATCCCACTCGGCCACATAATAGCTGTGTGTTCTTGGGAAAGTCCCTGTTCCCCAAACTTCGGCTTCCTCCTCACTAAATGGAAATGTTGAATAGAGAGCCAACAAAACACTTTACTTTCTGTTAAGTTAGTTCCTAGCCCCATTTACCTGGAACCCTGACAAGGGTGCGATGTCAGCTGCGTTACCAGGCAACGTTGCTTATGGCAAATGAGCCCTGATTGGTAAATTATGTCTAGACAGGAAGGGCTCTGAATGAAATATAAATAATTAGTGGAAAAACATAACTTTTGGGGGCTGCCCTGAGTACAGTGAATCCTGCTGGGATCCTGGCAGCTTTGACTTCTAAGTTAAGGGGATCCCCCCTCCACTGTGGCCTCATTACCTGCACCTGGGTGGGCCTGAGAGTAGCTCTGGAGGCTGTGTGGTCCCCGAGCAGATGAGAGACGCCTGGGCCTGCCCTGCTGGCATGCTGCGCCTCCTGCCCCGGCATCCTTCCCGGCGAAGGCAGTCCTGGGGATGGCCTATCTGGGTTTTATGGGTCTGTCTGATAAAGCCCAAGAAGACCCCAGAGGGAGCCCCACACGTAGGAGATGAGAGCAGTCCCTCCTCCCAGGACATGAGGATTAATTCCAGTTATATAAACAGGGACACTTGCAGAGGACATGACAAGTGTTGGCCCCCTTCTCTTCATCCCAGCAAAAAAATACCTGTCTTTGGGCTCTTCGGCTCGTTTCTTCCTTGGTGGAGAAAGGCCTGTCTCTGGCTTCCAGTTGGAACAGTCGAGCCCTTTTTCCTTCTTTGCTTTGTCTCTCTCCTCTCCTTTTTCTCCCTTGGGGGGCCCGGGGGAGTCTGAAAATGAAAGCATGGCATTGTTCCCAAACTCAGCTCTGTCTCAACAGAACCAACCATGGCTTTGGGGAGGGAGAAGCAAAGGGCACAAAGTGACAGATGCACACACCCCCCAACACACCTGCACACACACACACAAACACATTTATATACAGATGCATACACAACATGCACATATGTGTGCAAATCCACGCTCACATGGCGGGAGAGAAAGACGTCTGCCCACATACCATATTCATACAAATGTGTGTATATGGACATGTGCTACGCATATGAACACACGAGCACATGGAAATACATAGACACACGTACCCAAAAACTCACGTCTACAAATGTTGCACTGTGTAGACAAACACTGGCATTCCCCACTTAAGAGGCCATCTGTCATTTATCAAGTCATTCAACAAACACACACCGAGGGCCTGCTATATAAGCCAGACCCAGGATGGGAGAAAAACCCAGCCAAAGTTGGCCTTCCCCACTCTCACCCAGCAGCCGCTTCCAGTTTTTGATGAGGACTTTGGCCAAAGACACCACCTCCTTGTCTGAGCAGTGCTTGCGGACCCCATTGACGGCGACTCCGATCCTGGTTGTCTGCAAAGCGAGAGGGTCAGGGGCTGGTTTTAGAAGGGACACGCAGGACTGGCCGCCCTAATTGGCAAGGCCTGCCCCGGCCTCTCCAGAACCCCAGCCTCCCCTGAGCCCCGGCTGATGTAACAACCCCGGTCCCGTACCTAAGGCTCTGACCTGCCCGGTCCCAGCACTGGTGGACCACCCAGCGTGGGGGAGAAGATGAGGCCGTGGTGGATTTGGCTGCTGCTGAGGGCCCCTCCCCAATTCCACCTCCTGGTGTCTCTGAGTTCAAGTTTCAACTTAAGACACAGCTCTGGCTACTACAGCTTGGGTCTGTGCTGATTTTCTCAGGGCCAAGAACTTTGGGGAATGCTTGGGCAGTGTGGGCAACACAGGGAGGGTCTGAAAGTGGGCGACTTTTCCTTCTCCCTGGATCACCGGCCTCTTGGATCCCATAGGCCCAGGGCTGAGGGACTGGGGTATCAAGGAAAGCAAATCAGTCCTTCTCACGGGCATTCCCAATCTAAGGGCCTCGGTCTCCACCCTCAGAGCGTTAGACCTCCTGCGCCCAGGCCCTCCCCTCAGAAACCTTAGACCCCACCCTTGGGGGTCTCCCCCACCCCAGGTCTTCTTCTTCCCCAACCCCCAGGCACAGCCCCCCGAGGGTCCCCACTCCTGCCCCACCTGGAGTAGCTGGATGGACATCTGACAGCTGTTCAGCTTCTTCAGCAGGCCAAGGGCCCCTTCCTGTGGGAGGCCACAAGGTGAGGATGGAGGCCATAGACTCTGTCCCAGGCCCCTTCCTACACTGGGTGGTGTTGGCGGGAAAGACGGGTACAGGAGGTAAGGGGAGACTGCTCAGCTACGGGATACAGGTAGACAAGTGGCCGAAGGACAGGAAAGGGACAGAAAGAGGGAGAGAGAGAGGGGAAAGGTTCTGCCCCCAGACCAGCTCCCTAACTTCATCTCCCACCACCCAGCTGGCCTCACACCCCCCTGAGTCGGCACCCAGCTCTAACCACCCATCCTGACCCGGCCACGGTTCTGCTGTCCCTTCTACTGTCCCTCCTCCCCATCTCTTCTCTCTAAAATTAATTACTTCATGGTTTCTGGATATTGCTTTTGTGTCTGTATCTGCTTCCCAACTGTGAGGATCGTGCCTTTTTAAAAAAAAATAGCTTTATTGAGATAAAAATAGCTTTATTGAGATATAACTGACATGCAATAGACTGCACGTTTGAGGTTTGTATACACCCATGAAACCATCATCACAATCAAGGAAAGAACATAGTTGTCATCCCCGAAAGTTTCCTTGTGCCACCTTGTAACCCCTCCCTCCCTGCACCTGAACCCCAGGCCCAGGCCACCCTATTCAGTTGTCATTGTAGATGCACTTGCGTTTTAAAGGATTTTTTAAAAAAGATTTTATTTCTTTGACAGAGGGAGAAGGAGGAGAAGCAGGCTCCCCCCTGAGCAGGAAGCCTGATGTGGGGCTCAAATCCAGGACCCTGAGATCACAACCTGAGCCGAAGGAAGATGCTTAACTAACTGAGCCACCTAGGTGTCCCTTAAAGGATTTTATTTAAACAGTACTGTGATGGCCTTTCTCATCTGGCTTCCTTCACTCTGCATAATTGAGATTCATCTATGTTGATGAGTAGATCAATAATTCTATTTATTATTTTATTTACTTACTTACAATTCTTTTTATTACCGAGTTGTTTTCCATTATAGTGATATACTGCATTCACCTGCCAGTAGGGCTCTGGGGTAGTTCCCAGTTGGGCCTACCACAAATGAACCTGCTAGGAACATTTACGCACAAGTCCTTGTGCAGACACATACTTTCATTTCTTTTGAGTAAAGAGGGCTGTTTTACTCTCTGAAACCTCAGGGTTCAGCACACAGCTCAGTGCTCCCTGAGTAAGTGACTCAAGCAGAAAGCAGAGATGGGAAGGGAGAGTGGGAGGGGAAGAAAAGAACCTCAGATCTGCAAATCTGCTGGTTGCCAGGCCCTGAGCAACCCCTACCCCATTTCAGCCTTCTCCTTCCTCCACCCACTTTCTAGAGGCCAGCCCTGCCTCATGTCCTGAGACCAGTTCCCTGGGGAGCACCAGCTGACTGTGTCCGGCATGCCCCTTGCCCTGGTCTCATTGTGTGGTTCCAGCTGCCAGCTCCCTGCCCCGCCAGTCTTCTGTGCCAGGACCACATCCCAAGGGCTGCCCTCCGCAAGCCCTCAGCCTCCCTGGGAACTTGGGTTTGCAGTGTGTTTTCGGAGGCATGACCTGTGGATGTGTGTGCCTACACACACACCTGTGGACACACAACTCTACATGCCCCACTAGATTCAAGGCTCACTCCATGCTGGGTGGGCCCTGTTCTAAGTATTTCACCTGCATTAGTTGCTCTCATTCTCACACTGGCCCTGCCCTGCGAGGTAGATGCTATTACTACTCCCATCCATACCGAGTTATTAGCCCATTTTCACAGACCGGCAACCCAAGAAATAAGGAGGTTAAATAATTTGCCCAGAGTTACGAGGCATGGAGCTAGGATTTGAGCTCAGGCCCTATGGCTCTAACCACTATACAAACTGTGTAGGTATGGACATACAGCTATTTAGACACGTGCAACCACGGAGTAGCAGCATGAGTCAGAGCAGTGGCGTGTTGCTCAATGTTTAACACCCAGTTCTCAAACAAAAAAGCCGCCTTGGGATCCCTAGGTGGCTCAGTGGTTTAGCGTCTGCCTTCAACCCAGCGGGTGATCCTGGGGACCCAGGATGGAGTCCCGCGTCAGGCTCCCTGCATGGGGCCTGCTTCTCCCTCTGCCTGTGTCTCTGCCTCTCTCTCTCTCTGGGTCTCTCATGAATAAATAAATAAAATCTTAAAAAAAAAAAAAAAGAAAAGAAAAGCCGCCTGGTTTGTAATGTTTGTCAGTATCTGTAGTGTAAACAATCCTCCCATGGCCAATTTCTGGCTACCAACATGTCACTGAATTAAAGGAGGTACTGGGGAGAGATGTACAGTACCACACCATTAAACCCTATCTCCACCCTATTGATGTAATAGAAGTAAATCAGCTCTAGACCATAGATGGTAGTGAAATGTAGTAAAACAACTAGCAGTGATGACTTTGGAGTGTTTATTACCTTTGGTTTTTTTTAAGATTTTATTTTATATTTGAGAGAGAGAGAGTGCACGTGCAGGCATGTGTGCAGGAGCATGGAGAGGGGCAGAGGGAGGAGAGAATCTCAAGCAGACTCCAAGCTGAGTGGAGCCTGATGTGGGGCTCTATCTCACGACCCTGAGATCATGACCTGAGCAGAAACCAAGAGTCTGACACTCTACCAACTGAGCCACCCAGACGCCCAGTACCTTTGTTTTTAAAATAAACTATTCATAGAAATAAAATAAAATAATAAATAAAATAAAATAAAATAAAATAAAATAAAATAAAATAACTATTCAGGGGTGCCTGGGTGGCTCAGTCAGTTAAGCGTCTGCCTTCGGCTCAGTCATGATCCCAGGGTCCTGGGGTCCCGCACCGGGCTCCTTGCTCAGCGGAGAGCCTGCGTCTCTCTTCCTCTTCCTGCAGCTCTCCCTGCTTGTGATCGCTCTCTCTCTCACTCTGTCAAATAAATATCTTAAATATATATAATTTATTTAATTGTAAGTATATCATTTAATTTTTAAAATAAATGGCTCTACATAGGGAATGTAGTCAGCATCGTATGGTGACAGGTGGTAGTCACACTTGTGGTGAGCACTGCATAATATAGAGATTTGGTGAATCACTATGTTGTACACCTGAAACTAATGTAACATTGGCTGTCAACTAGAGTCAATTAAGAAAATACCATAATGGCTGTATTTAACAACCAGCTTGCAAAATTCCTGAAAAATCAACAATGGATATTATGCTGGTTGCAGCTCACCACTGGGTGTGTGTCTCTGTATGTCACACTGTACAACTGGGTCATGTTGGAAAAGAACAGCCATGAGCCGGGTTGGAGCTGGGCTCACAAAGCCAGGTGCAAGAGTTGCCAGGTGTGTCTACCTGTATACAGGGATGGGATGTGCAGCCAGCAGCACCTGTGGTCCACGTGTGGCGCTGTGTATATGCAGCTCCAAGCAGTGTGTCCGTCTCTGTGCGATGACGCCCGTGTTAAAATCCTTGAATGTGTAAGTACGGCTGTTTGCTAAATCTGTAGCTTTGCATGTATGGGGGTGGCTGTGCTGTGCACTCACGTGTGTGTCTTCCTGGAAGTATAATGGTCAGTGCGCCTGTCACATTAGCACCAGTGGCCATGTCTCACATCCAGTTCTGTGTATAGATGCTTGTCTGGCTATTGCTGTGCGTGGCTGTGTGTGCCTAGCCGTGTTTGTTGTGTGTAATTATGTGTGTAGCTGTGACTGTTGGTGTTTGGCTGTATGTCTGAAGCTGCTTCAGTTGTACACTCACAGCATCTGACAAAAGCCCTGAGCAAGTTGCTGGGACTTCAGCAATTGGCAGCGAATCCCAGGCTTGAGCTGCAACGTGGAGGATCCGACTTATTACAGGAAGTGTGTCCTCCTCTCCCTAACCACTGCTGGGCGGGCCCATGTTTGCTCCCAGAGCAGGCCCCACCTCTCTCGGCCACAGGCCCAGAGCTCTGTGCCCACCCAGATGCTGCCAAGAGCCCAGGCGCAGACGTGGCTGCAGAGGAGCTCTGTGCTACAGAGACCCTGCAGCCAGACCTGCCTCTTTCCTGGAGAGACTTCTGGGTAGTTCGACAGGAATCCATTCCCAAGACATACAGTTTCCTCTTCCCATTTCACAGAAGAAGAAATCGAGGCCCAGAAAGGGAAAGCAGACTGGGGAGCGTAGGGCCATAAAAGGCGTGAGGCGGGGAGGGTAGGGCAGGTCTCCTCCTCTTCAGTCGGAGCTCTAAATCCCCCAAGCCGCCTTTCCTCAGGTGTCCCAGCACCCCCTCACCCCCCACCTCTTAGCCTAGAATCTCCTGACCCAAGCCTGGGGTCAGCAAGGCACAGGGCTGTGATGTGGAATTTAGCTCCGAAGACCTGGGCTGAGCTCTATGACTCCTCGTTGGGAAAGTGCCCACTGACTCCAGGCTCAGTTTCACTGGTTTTGGAGGATCTGGGAATGTGGGGTGGGTGGAGGCTGGGTGTGTCAGGGTGATGGGCTCCCAGCATCCCGCAGGTTTCTCTGTCCCCCCTGGCTGTGCAAAAGCCAAGTGTCATTCTGTAGCTCTCGGAAAGCACCCGTGCAAGTCCTCCCCAGGGCTTCCCATCTCTTCCACCCTCACCACTCCAAGCAGAGACACTCCTTCCCAGGAGGTAATCTCCTCTCCTTCTTACGGTGAAGAAGCTGGTAGACTCTGGCCTTTATATGGACCTCAACTCTGTGTCTGTTCTAGGGCTGCTGGACACTCCAGGGCTCTAGTGATTCTTGGTGCTAACCTGGTCTAAAACCTCCCTTACGGTCCATCTCTTTTGCAGAATGGGCTGGAAAGACGGGTCCTGTTCCAGCCGGAGGCTACGGATGGTGGGACTAGAAGGGCCCTGGTCCAGGGTGAGGTGGGGGAGCAGTCCCGAGGGCGACGCTCTCCTCTCTTCCCTGCCCGGGTGTGCCCAGGCCCTCCCAGACCCAAGGCCAAGTTGGCTCTGGCCAGGCAACTCCGTGGCCGCCCGCCCGCTAGAGGCAAAGATCACGGTGAAGATCAAACATTAACTTCAAGTCCAGGGCCCGGCAGGTAGGGCCGTGGGTCTGGGTTCCCCCCGAGTCGGGCTCCTCCTCCCGCGGCCCCCGCAGCCCAGGCCCGCAGCCCCTCCCGCCCCGCGGCCCCGAGGGCGCTGCGGCTGCCCCGCACCTGTTCGGCCCCCGCCCGCCCGCGGGGCCCCGCCCCGCGGCCAAGTTAAGGGAAAGCCGCGAGCAGAGCCGCTCCTGGCGCCCGCAGGCTGGGAGGCTGTGGGACCCGCGGTCACAAGGGGGGCTCTGACCCAGATCCACTAGTGGGGTGAGAGGCACAGAGGCGGCTCGGCACCCCGCATCGGCTCAAGTTTGTTTGCCCCTTCTCGGGCCACCCGGGGTTTTGTAACCCATGCCCCCCCCCCCGCCCTCCGCCGTCCCCCCTCCCCGCCCCGCTGTCGCCGCCACTCCCGGTACTTTGCACACGCCTCGAGTGCTGGGGCTTCCAAAGTCCTTTCGCAGGTCCCCCGGCTCTTCGCTCGCTTCGCAGGGCCCTGCATAAGCTGCCCGGGGCCCCTGGACCCCTCTTTTCCAGAGGGGCGTGCACCAGCGCCGTCTGGGGGGCCCGCACGACGGGGCCGGCGCCCGGGGCCATGCACACGCCCCCCCGGGGCTCCCGGCAGTGCCCCCGGGGCGCTGAGCCCTGCGCCAGCCGCGCCGCCCTCGGGCCCCGGCGCCCCGCACGCGCCTGCCGGGCGCCGGGCCAGCACGCGCCCCCGGGACTCCGGCTCGCACGCGCCGCGCCTCCCGGGGGCGGGGGCGGGGGCGGGGGCCCCAGCGCCGCAGCCTCACCGAGTTCTTCCTGGCCACCATCTTCTCCAGCTTCCTGGCGATCCGCAGCAGCTCCTCTTCCTGGCCCATGCTGGCGCACGACGCCCGGCCGGCCGAGGGGCCCGGGGCCGCGGGAGCGCAAGGGCGGCGGGCGCGCGACCGCGCGGCCCCAAACCCGCAGGACGCACACGCCCGGGGCGGGGGCCGGGCCCTCCCACACCCCCCGCGGCCCGCCCGCCTCGCGGCCGCAGGGGGAGGGGTGACGCCGCTAAATATAGACCTCAAGGACTCGCCCGGGCAAAGTTTGCCCGCGCCGCGGGGCCGGCCTCCCGAGGGGGACGAGGCCGCGAGAGGGGGCCCTCCGCCTCCGCCTCCGCCTCCGCCGTGCTGCCGAAGGGAGGCTGGGCAACGGGGCGCCGCGGGCCGCGACACCGGAGCCTGGCGCCCGAGGGGCCCCCAGCGCCCCGGCACGAGTCCTGGCTCCCGCGTCTTTGCGCCGTCGCAGCTGGAGCGGCGGACCTAGCTCCGTCCTGCGCCCGGGCGCCGGCTGCTCGGTGCCCTCGGGTCAGGTTTCGTGCGCGGTCCTTAAATCCAGCTCTGCTGCACCGGCGCTCGCTCCTCCGCGCACACGGCCTGTGGACACGTGTCTCCAGGCCCTCTGGTTCCGTCTATTTTGCTTGTTGCAAGGAGGGTTTGTATTTCTAATAAGCTCCGAGTGCAACCGGCCGGGCTGCCCCTGGGACTGCTTTCTGAGTAGTGAGGGTTTGGGAGACTCTTAATGCACCAGACTTTGCGAAATACCGATCCCGGTGCGTGGGTGCCCGTTATTTATTCAAGGTCAGGTTACTACCTCCCCAGTGAGATTGGGCTTGGAGGGGTCATCTTCCGTGAAAGGAAGCAAACAGAATTGTGCCCCCCCCCCCACGGCCGGGCGCATATCTGTGTTTCCCTGGAAGGACCTTCCAAGCGTGCCCCCAGCAGACCTGGGAAGAGTCCTGAACTAGGGAGCTTCATGAACACAAAATGATCCTTTTCAGTGGGAGAGGTGCTTAGGGACCCCCAGGGGAGGCGTGAAAAGTGATCAGTGCCGTGTACACAGTAGGGCGCTGTTGCTTGGGGTGTTCCGTGACATCTCCAGACTTTCCTGGGAGAACTTTTTTTCCATCCCGGCCTGGATCACCACTCATCTGGCTTCTAACTGCTGCTGCTGAGACTATGGTAGGAAGGGGTGTTTTTTTTTTCTTTCATTAAACAAATGCGTTTTGAGTGTTCAAGTGATAAACAAGACAGACTAGTCCCAGCAAGCTTGAGATGCAGTCTAAGGGCAAGAGGAAACCTAAGCAAATTTGGACACAATCAATTCTGTATTATCATAACTGGGATGAGGGTCAGAAAGAAATGAGGATACCTTAAGGACACATCTGAGGGGACCTGCACCAGTGGAGGTGTCATCTGCTCTGAAGAAACGAAGTTTAAACTTTGGGCAGAAGTGCAGGGTGGGAATTGGGGGCAGGAAGGGAGTGTTCACATAAGAGATGAAGGAACATTCATTCGACATATGTTTATTGAGCACCTACTACATGCCCAGCAGTTCCAGCCCTGGGCATCCAGAGGACCAAAACAGTCCTCCCGGAGTTCTGAATGTGCCAGGCTTAGGGATGGGAGTGTGTTTGGTGTGTCAGGGTCAGAAGAACTGAAATATTGGTGGGGCTGTAGCATTGAGGTGGGTTTGGGAGGAAATAGGGGAGAAAGCCAGAGATGAGTGGGGTCTGACAACGCCTGCATTGGGGCCACTTTTAGGAGGTTAGATTATGTTTGGGATGGGAGTTTGGGAGTTTGACCAACTCCCAGGTGGGTTGAAGGGACAGCGGTCTGCAGTTACTCAGGATTGCCTTCTTCTTCTTCTTCTTCTTTTTTTAAAGATTTTATTTTCAAGTAACTTCACCCAATGTGGGGCTCAAACTTACAACCCTGAGATCAAGAGTCACATACTCCTGACTGAGCCGGCCAGGTGCCCCAAGATTGCATTTTAAAAAATAAACAGAGTTGATTTTCCTCAAACTTCCACACAGTTCCCACCTTGAGTTGTATGACCTCAGCACAAGCCAAGACATCTACATCATCAAGGCTCAAAGGACCCTAAGTAAACATCAAGAGCAACCCCTCCACTGTACAGACGGGAAGACTGAGCCTCAGAGAAGCCCAGGGTTGCACAGTTCAACCGTATCAGACACTGTTGGTACCTACCATATCCCCTGTCTACTCGTCCTCTCTTAGAGGTCACAGCAGGCAGTTCTTGGACGCATCTCCACCTTCCCACGTCTTGGAATGAGGGCTTCAGAGCAGGCTGGAGGTGCTTGGGAATTAACACCCCCAGGAAAGACCCCTCAGCTAGCGAGAGACCAGTGTCACTTTCAGTGGGACAACTCAGAAATATGTTTGTTTTTTTTTAATTTTTTTATTTATTTATGATAGTCACAGAGAGAGGGAGAGAGAGAGAGGCAGAGACACAGGCAGAGAGAGAAAGAGAAGCAGGCTCCATGCACCGGGAGCCCGACGTGGGATTCGATCCCGGGTCTCCAGGATCGCGCCCTGGGCCAAAGGCAGGCGCCAAACCGCTGCGCCACCCAGGGATCCCTGTTTTTTTTTTTTTTTTTTAAAGCAATTTCTACACCCAATGTGGGGCTCGAACTCACAACCCGGAGATCAAGTCTCATGTTCTATTGACTGAGTCAGCCAGGTGCCCTGAAGACATGTTCTAATCAATCGTCTCTCAAAGGTCCCCAAGATAAACCCTAGTTCAGTATAGTAACCTCTCATTAACACACCCCCTATTGCTTTTTGACCTACTGTTCCAGTCCTTACCTCATTATGGTTCCTGGGATCACTTTGTAAATAATAAACTACTTGCCCCCAAATCTTTGTCTCTGGGGACCTCAAAATGAGACAAGGACTGTGGCAGACTTTAACTGCTGGTTTCCCCATCCCCCCATCCCCCCCCCACCCCACAGCATGTTTCCTCTGCACTGGTGCTTCTTCACCTGGGCGCTGTTAACAGTCTGGAATTCTGGATGGGATGATGCAGTGTTGTGGGGCTGACCTGTGTACCATGGGATGGTTACCAGCACCCCTGACTTTTAGCCACTAGATGCCAGTAGCACCTTCCAGTTGGGAGTGGTCCAAAAAAAAGTCTGCATTGCCAAACATCTCCCAGGGCAAAATTGCCCCAGGTTACAAACCACTGTTTGCACTGCTGCAAACCCCGCCCTCTTCCTTAGTAGATCCAGAGAAAGAATTCCAGGCCCTAGGATTCCTACCTCGTCCCTATTGTTCGTCAGATCACACAAATGGAACTACTGGAATTTAATTAAAAAAAACTTTTATTAGAGATGAGTGGAATAACAAGTCTGAGATGAGCAAAACCAGACACTGGAGGGCCCAGCAGACAGCCCTGCTCCTGTGGGATCCCAGACCAGTCAGGTCTCCAGGGTAAACAGCTGAACCTCCAGGGCCAGACTGCTTCGTTGGCCATTGGCACCCGCTGGCCTCTCCTGTTTGGCCTGGCCCATCCCTGCCAGGGCCCAGCGCCCGGTGCCCATACAACTGTGTTAGAGACTGATGGTGGCGTAGCTGTATCTGCTTTCAAATATGGGGCTGAAAGTCACGGTGACACTTCTGGGACTGGGAAGCAGAACCTTCAGTCCCTGCCCTCCTGTTCTTATTTTCTCCTTCCTCCGTTCTTAGCTCTTTCCTTCCCCAAGACTGGAAGGCTCCTGAGTTAACCAAAGATAAAAGAGAGAAGGGAAGATCAATCATCCCAGACCATTCCTTTCCTTCCTGCTGCATCAAGGAGAGTAGGCAAATAGGGGTTACTCCTAGTCTACACTTCCTGGCTGGGGAATCGGGCAGAGGTTCCCCGGGAAGACTGTGCTGTCCCTCGAAAGGAGTGCTATTGAGTGTTTACTTAACAGCCAGTACCGCATGAGCACTGGCCAACCAGAATGGATGTGAGCTGTAGACAGTGTAATGTCACTGTGTAAGCCAGCTGATCACCTGTCTGCCCCTGGGCCCGGGACCATCCCCTGGAATTGAGCCCTGCCCATTCCCAAGCCCAGCCTTTGGGATCAGAGTCCCAGCAAGGGACCACATCTGTAAGACCCTTATCTTACTCATGTGGCATCTGGACATAGAGAGGAACTCAGTAAAGGAATACTAGATCAATGGATGTCCAAGAAGACAGTCCCTTGGGGCCAGAATCCCTGGTCTGGATGATGAAGGTGGGCTGGTCCCACTGTTATGCAGCCCCCAGACTGATGGGAGGAACACAGTTCTGGTCTGAGGAGACTGAGGGTTCTGCAGCCACAGCTAGCTCAAGAGCACTCCGACCTAGCCGTAGGGCTCCCTGGGTGGTGACAGGATAGAGAGGAAGAGCTGCCATCAGGCCTAACTTGGAAGGATCCCAAGTCCTTGGAGGGGGCGTAGGCCCATGGCAGGGAGGAAGGCCAGCCCCAGATGCACAAGGGACAGACAGAGCAAGACCCAAGGGAACAGACACTTCAGTTCCCCGGTCTTGTGGGCTCAAGTCCCAGCTCTGAACATTGGGATCCAACATGGGGGTAGTTCAGGCATGTAAGGGCCAGCAAGGAGCTAGTCTTGTAAAAGCTGCTCAGAGTTTCCAGGAAAACCCCCATCCTTGGGCCCTCTCCTTCAGTGGAGCCAGCCTGTGGAGAGAAGAATGAAGACTGACATTTTCTGAGTGCCTGTATTATACACCAGCTGTTTATCTCCCTCAGTTCCATCATTGTCCTATGATAGATTCATGAAATCATCTCCATTTAACAGACAATGAAACTGATGCTTGAAGAAGCCAAGCCACTTTTCTGAGGCCCCTACCTCCTACAGCCCG